ATTTCATCATCTTCCATTGTTTAGCATTGGAGCCAGAAATTCTAAAGAGTGGCAAGTAGCAGCTGTACCAATAAAATCAGCTCTTCCTCCTATTCTAGCATCTCCAGTAATGGCAAAAAGAATGTCCAAAGGCCAACCATCTTGTCTCTGATGACACTAAAAACTCTCCCTGCATCTCCCATTCTCTAGATTTCTGCTGTTTGCTGGTGTCTTTCATTAAAGAGGCTTTCATTCTACAGGAAGCAACATTGTTTAACAATGTGAAATTTAGGGATTGAGTATGGACTTGTAGGACTATGCCAAGATAAAAAAGGAGAGATGCACATCATCAAGCAGATAATTCTTTCACCTTTTCCATATGGAAAGCCAGTTAGCGTGCTCATTTACCAAGAGAAACAGACATGTGCAGGCCACTAGTCACAGCAAGATTTAGCTTAAGGAGTGCCGGCTGTTGTGTGTATGTATCCTCTCGCAACATGTGCCTTCCTGCCTGTGGCTGCTTCTGCTGTTTCATCAATGGGCAGCAGTTATTTTCAAACCTCTGGTACCAGGGATCAAACTCAGGACCTTGCACGTGCTAGGCAGGTGCTGAGCTATATCCCCAACCCACAAACCTCATTTTGAATATAAGTTATTGCACATAAGTGTTTGAAAAGACTGAAGTAAAATTTACTATTGATAACAAAATAAGCAGATGACACTGACTAAGAATATTACGAGATTACATGGGTATGCTTACACAAGAATGTTTTCCAATAGTGAGATATAAAGTGCCTCATTATTACAGTGATTTCTAAACAACACATGCATTTATCATTCTTATATTCAAAATAACAGATACTTTGAGCTGTCTCAGGCACTGTTCTGGGTAATAGGAGTAGATGAAGCAACAAACAGAACATCACAAATTCCCATCCTTGGGATAAAAAGCACAGTAGAATGGTGAAGGGTTACATGAGGATGGAGTTGCTGGAGAGTCAAAGGGAGGCGCTTTCTGTTTTAAATAGGTCATCTGCATATGTCACCAAACTACTTTTTGGGTGGAGATCCAATAGAGGTGAAGGTGCAAGCCGTGAGGGCATCTATGGGGAGAAAACTTGGCATCTCTGAATGTGGAAGCCAGTATGACCTGACCAGAGATGGCCAAAGATCAAAAGTAAGCCATGCAGCCAGAAGCAACCAGTGACCAGAGAATGTCAAGCCTGTGAGAAGTTAGGCTTGTTGCTACTGAGAAGAGAAGGTGGTAGAAGGTTTGGGGCTGGTGCTAGAGACAATAGAAGAGCAAAGGGAGAAGCACAGACCAGGTAAAGGTATCATTCACTGCAGGGGACAGTGGTAGCCTTGGCATTGTGGACAGGGTTTGGAAGTGGCTGGCTACATTTTGAAGGATAAACTGGGAAGCATTGTTGACAGGTTAGATGTTCTGTGTGAAGGAGTCATCATGAACCAGTTACAGTTTTGTTTCTAAGCAATTAAAAGGTTGGATTTGCCAACATCTGTGACTGGAAAGAGAATACCAGCAGTGAGAAGTGCCCAGGAGACACTCAATGGGGATGTCCTAGAGGCAGCTGGGTGAAAGATCCAGGCTCAGGAGAGGACTCCAGAATTGGACAGAAATGTACAGGTCATCCCTGTATTCACAGGCTTGAATGCCACAAAATCCAGTAAAACTACCTACAGTCTGTGTAGCAAAAAAGCAGTACAAAATTGAATTTGTAGACATGTCAGCATTTTGAGAAGGTAGAAGAACCAGAAAAGAAGCCTGGGGAAAAGCAGCGAGTATGGTAGAAGAATAGGGCTCAGAAGCCGAAGGAGGCTTTCCAGGAGGGGGAGTTCATATGTATCATTGCTGCTGTGGGTCTGTTGAATGAACGTAGAAACTCCTTGCCAAAAGCAGTCTCTCTTGAATACTAAAGGCAAAAACTTGGTTAGAGTGGAGAGAGACAGAATTGGAGATGACGTCATAGAAAGCTTGTTTTGATGACCTCTGTTGGAAAGGATCACGAGAAAAGAGTCTGTAGCTCAACTACAATGCAGGGGTCAAGAAAGGATGTTGGTGAGCTCATAGGGAGGACCTAGGAGAGGGGCAAGGGTTCCAAGAACAGTTACCATGTGTGGGCGAGAAAATGTGGACTCTGGCTTAGGAAGGGGTTGCTGGGCTGAGGCAGCTGGACCAATAGTTCATCTGCAGCCACAGAAGGAAAGCTGCCTACAAGCATTTAGGAATAGGCGGGCCCTTGGGGATGTATAAAAGCTCTACACTCATCATTTATTTACCCAGAGTTTAGGAGGCCAGGTTATCAGTTGACAGTGAGCATGGAGTGAGGTACTAAGGGCTTGAGGACAGGAGGAAAGATAGGAGGTGGTATTCTAGAAGAGTAGGAAAATAACTGGACTAAAAAAATGTAATAGGAAGGCAAGGTGAGACTGATAAGCTCTTGAAGGTGAGCTTATCAGTGATAATAAACTTAAAGACAAACATTTCTGCGTGGTTTTGTTTTCCTGCAGCACTTTTAGTTATATGAAAACAGGCATGAAATAGATGAACAAGAGTAATTACCCTTATCCCACGGATATTTGACAGTGTCTGGAGACATTCCTGATGGTCGCAGTGTGAGAGAAGGGCATGGCTACTGGCACCTAGTGGCAGAAGGCCAGGATACTACTGAACATCCTATGATGCACAGCACAGCCCCCCACAAGGCTTACCCACTTCAGAATGCCAATAGAGGCCCTGTAAAGGAACCCTGAAGTAGACAGAGAACCAGCATATTGTCTTGCCAGGTGAATTTGGCAAAGGGTGGGCAATGCATGTGAGTGGACCCAGGGATATAGTTATGTAGGAGTAAAGTGAAGGTCAATGTAAAGGTAGTAAGAGAAATGAACTATATGTCTCAGTGGCATCAAATAAATGCTGAAGATGGTGTCCTGGGTGGAGTGAGTTGGTAGTTGTCAGATTAGGATGCTAGGAATTGAGAAGGTACTATTCAGGGAATGATAAGATCTAGGTATTAACTACAGCAGTGAGTGACTAAGGGAGAGGATGAGATATTTAGAAGATATGGGGTCAAAGAAATGAGAGACCAAAATGTTGGATTGTGGGTGTGGATTTAGTCCCCAGGAACAGTGATGTGTCAGAGAAAGGAAGGTGGGAGTAGGCAGTTGCAATACTCAGTAAACCTAGAACTTGAAGATCAGGTCCTGTGGTCAAGTCTGAGAGTCAGGAGAAATCCTCTCCATTATACATTTACTCTTTACAAATCCTTATTTATGGGTGTTCAAAAAATATGGTACTAGTTAAATGGATTGTTATTCCAGTGGTGTGCTGGTAAATGTGTAACAATTTGTCTGCGGTCAGAGGACGTTTTATTGCTTTTGCCAATTCCCATGGTGTAAATATTCCCACTGTGACCAATTTCCAGCTACCCATGTGACATCACTGAATACAGAGTTGGGGAAAGATACACATAATCAGTTCTTGTGACTCAACTTACTGGCCCATAAACTGTTTTCTAACTCAGCCATAGAAAATTGTGTTTCACAGTCATTTGTGTATGATAAGGGAAAAATTCACAACATACCAAATTAAGGGGAGAAAGGCACATCTCTAAGAAGTATGTATGGCATCATCCCAATTATGTTAAACAGTAATATGTGCATAGGAAGGATGTACAAAAAATCTTATTTCTGGTCTACATGCTATGGTGATTTGAAGGTTTTAAGATTTCCTTTCTTTTACAATTTTCTAATTCTTTGAATAGAAGCATCTGTAACATAATTAGTAACATTGTTGAATGTCAGTAACTACATTTAATTCTTCTCATCTTTTTCATTAATTTGTATGTTTTCTAAAGAAGCTTAAGAATAATTTCCTATGTGTTATGCTAGTTTGGATGGCTTTTTTTTTTTTTTTTTTTTTTTTTTTCAGATAAAGTTATATTATTATGTAAATACTGAAAAGTGGAAATTATCTAATACATTATGTGCTTCATAGTCATAAGACAAGGGATGTATGGTGTACAATTTTAAAACTAAAAATGTAGTCTTTTTGAAAAAATGTTGAAACTCATATGACTGAGTACTTAAATGTTATTTCCTTGGAAACAGTTTTATAGTCTGCTTTATTCTCATTGGAAGCATTTTTTTTCTGTTTTTACAGAGTCTCAATAGGTTTTTTAAAAAAATATTACATAGAGTGAAATATACTTAATCTTTCCCTTGTTGTGTATTTATTGTACAACCTGTTCTTGAATAAGAGATGATACATGTAAGCAATTAGCAGTGTGTCCACACAGGAGGCCAAAAGTAAATAGCTGTTGAATTTGAACAGATAATCTAGGCTGGGCATCATGCTGTACCCCAAGGGAACAAATGCAGCAGGAGATTTCTTGGTCAAAATAAGTATGCAAATGTCCTATGGATCTTTGAAATATATTTAGTAGATTGCTTCCCAAAGTAGGTACATTTTTTTTTTGAGACAAGGAGGCACTGTCTCAAAATGCACTGAAAAGGGTATAATATATTATATTATATACAGTATAATATAAATGCACTGAAAAGGATATAAATGCTTTGTGTCACTTTGTAGTTCAGGCTGGCCCTGAACTCATGGCAATCCTCCTGCTTTAAGTGCTGGGATTACAGGCATGCACCACTATACCCGGCAACAACTACATTAGTTTCAAGGGTACACTGCTTTTTATTTTCAAATGAGAGATGCACATTAGAATCAGTTTCACAGAATGACATCTCTTAAACTACTTTCCCCCTCCCCCCGCAAAAAAACAGCAAAGCCATCCCAAGAATCCGAATGACAAACACCGCAGCAAAAAGTGCAAAGATCCCAAACCCCGGGTAAAGAAGTTAAAATACCACCAGTACATTCCACCGGATCAGAAAGGTGAGAAGAACGAGCCACAGATGGACTCCAACTACGCCCGCCTGCTCCAGCAGCAGCAGCTCTTCCTGCAGCTGCAGATCCTGAGCCAGCAGCAGCAGCACTACAACTACCAGGCCATCCTGCCTGCACCGACCAAGTACGGGCGGGTTAATGTGTGTCTCTAGTGGCTTATACAATGGTTTTTATGAGCACTAAGTTAGATGTGGTGATCTGTCTGTGCTCAGTGGTTACTTTCACTGTGTTGTTAATAAAGCTTCCCCTATGGTGTTGCAGTCAAGTAGTAAGGATGGCCTGCATTCCTGTCTGGCTTTTATTCTCTAATAGGTTTGTTAGAAATGCCTTTTCACAATTACTCATCCACTTATTAGAAAGATCTGCTTATTGTATACTGAAAATAATATTTGATGCCCTGAGAGAAGCATGAACAGATACAAAGAAGAGAGATGCTCATAAAACCAGGAGTAGCCAAGAACTTTGTAGAATGACAACACATCTCCAGGAGAAGACTTGGAAAGTCCAGGGAGTGATAGGAACCCTAGGGCAGAAAAGGGTAAGCAATGCCTGAGCACTAGATAGAGAAATCACCTGACTGGAAAATGCCATTGACTTTTTTGAAAAGGAAAAGGCAAAATAGTAGAGCCAGTGCCTGCAGGGACTTGAAGTTGGGCAAAAAACTATACTCACAGTAGTAGACAGTGGTGTATCTCAGAGGGTAGTCATGATGTGGCAAGACTGAACTGCTAGACAGAACAGCAGGATGCTGGTAGTGAAGGACCGTCGGGAAGCAGAAGTGAAAGGACAAAAGGACACTGATTATGGAAAGGAAGGACCAGGTAACAGAAGGTCTGGTGCCCAACAACTGTGGAGAAAGAGGAGCTTTCCAGAGTTTGAACCCAATCATGAGTGACCAGACAGAGTTCTGTCACTGAATTCATAGCAAGATATCCATAGCTGATTTTAGTTATGTAAGGAAAGTAATTTCTTAATACACATCCCCAACATGTTCTTTTTGGGACTGACAGGTTCACAAAGATCCTGTCCTTCCCTTCCTTCACTGTCCAGGAGAAAGTAAGATCTGCTGCTGACGCTAGAGAAGAACCCCTAGAAAAAGATGCAAAAGCTCATTATAAGGAAAAATTATTCTCTCATCAAGTTGTTCAGTTTATGGCCACATGATACATAGAAATACTTCTCTTTCCTACTGGTACTCTAAGCCCTCCTCCATGGATATGCCCTGTTTATTCTAGATGGAGCAAAGGATATAAATGCACTGAAAAGGATATAAATGCTCTGTGAAGAAATATCTTTTCATATATTCAATGATTATCTTTTTTGTGTGTCTTAAGATACAAATATCTTGAGGTAGATTAAGCCTATTAGTAATTCAGACCTTATGGTGATGTACTTATCTAAAACATCATAGTGTTGAGATGAAGAGAAATCATTTTGTAGCATGTTGTTATTTTAAGAGTAAGCAAGCCTGAGTGTGCATTTGACATTGGACAGTATCCAAGAAGGCCACAGAGAGTTGGAACAACGTTCAAGACCATTGCCACTATTTTACAGCTTCATCCAGGGCCTAGGCTACCCCCAGCTGCCACCTTCCATGGGTGCTGAACACCAGTGATGAGATGAGCCACCATGGGAAGTGAGTCTCAGAATGACTTATGACTTAGGATGCACCAACATACCCTTGACACTTTGCATCACCATCGTCCTCCCTCCAAGTCTAGGAAAAAGTCAGTATTATTGACCCTTCCTAATGGGACTATCAAACTGAAAATCCCATGATTTAGGCTTTGCGGGGCCAGCTTTTTAGGGGAGAAGGGTACATCAGCTAAATTCCACCAGTCCTGCCTCTGCATGGAGGCTCCAGGGCCCTCTCTTCCTCACTCAGTACCCTCACTACAGTAAATATCCACTCCATTCACCCTAGGGAGAAGATTCAGAAACTGAGAGGAGGAAAGAACACTTACTTTGTGTGGCAGGGGTGTATTATTTTACCACCTAAACACTGAACATAAGCCTGTCTAGTTTCCAAATCATAAAAATTCAGGCTTGTTTTCTAACATTTTTTATCTTTATCGAAATTCTATTACAAAAAAGTGACCCCTGTAGCACCCATAGCAGTGGTAAAAAACCTGTATTATGTGGCCTTTTGGTACCATGGAAGAAGTGACTGGGCTATGGTTAAACCCACCTTGGCCACACATTTAAAGATGGTAGAAGGCCACACCATCCCTCAGAAAGCCAATCTCATCTGCACACTGATCACACCCACCAGTTCCCTCTCCTTTTTTCTTCTGAATTTGTGTGGAAAATAAATCATTTCCGGTATTTTTTTTTATTTTAAAGAGAGTAGTAAATGAGACACAGACAAACAAAAAATAAAACAATAGCAGCATACCAGTATCACAAGCGTAAACAAACCAAAACAAGAACATATAAAGTGATATACGGTTTCAAGACATAATAATACGAAATAATAGTGGTTATTATATTACATATCGCTATCCTCAGCTCCATTGCTGAGATTACCAGATGTAAGAATGGAAGATTGTTCAAACCATTAAAGAGAATAAGAAAATAATTATTAGATAAAACATCAGAGATAATACAGAGTTTCACTAGACAACATGGTAGGAATCCACCATGGTAATTCCATTGTATATTGTTACCTTCAAATCAGCTGCCCAGATTACCAGACACAAGCATGCAAAATTGATAAGAACATAAAAAATTTTAAGCATTAACTATTTCTTTCAGTAGACCATCAGACATCAGCAATACAGTTTTCACAACTATTCATATATACATTTATATTTTGCCTTCTTTCTTTTTTCTTCTTTCCCTCATCCCAGTCATTCCTTCCTTTGAGCAGTTTCTTTCCCTTTTCTGTCATCTATTGTGTTTTGAGTTTTACTTATTCTTTCAGGTTCCTACACCAAGGAGACAATATGATGTTTACACATGTGGGTCTGATTTATTTCACTTATGAGTATGGTTTCTGGTTGCATCCATTTACCTACAAAAGCCTTGAGTTTATCTTTTTTATAGCTGAGTAATACTCCATTATATAAAAATACCACATCTTTTTTATCCATTCCTCAGTGGATGGGCATCTGGGTTGTTTCTAAGATTTAGCTATAACAAATTGTGCTGCTATAAACATGGGTGCACATATGTCATTGTGGTATGATGTCTTTAATTCTTCTGGGAAAATACCCAGAAGGGGAATAGCTGGGTCAAATGGGACCTCCAATCCTAGCTTTGTGAGGAATCTCCAAACTGACTTCCGCAGTGGTTTCACCAATCTACACTCCCACTAACATTAGAGAAGGGTTCCTTTCTCCCCACAGCCTCTCCAGCATTTGTTATTGGTTGATTTCTTGATGATAGCGATTCTTTCTGGTGTGAGATGGAATCTCAGTGTTGTTTCAATTTGCATTTCTTGAATAACTAATGATGTTGAACATTTTTTCATGTATTTATTCACCATTAGTATTTCTTTATTTGAGAAGTGTGTATTCATCTCAGATGCCCATTTTTGGATTGGGTCTTTGAATTTGGGGGGTTCTGGTATTTTAAAAGTTTAAGTATAAACACAAAGTCATAGTCACAAGTAGAATGTAGATTCCAACCAAAGCATACCATGAATGGAAGAATTAAATCATACGTTCTTCAGGGGACAGTTACTCACAAGGGACTAAGAGGTAGTAATTCAGCAGAAGGCCTATTGCTCTTTTATAAAACACAAGCATACATATAGGACATAAACATATGCAGTGTATCTGTGACAATAAACTGTGTGGGAAAGGAAATTCAGAAAAAAATTAACTAAGAGCCTCCTTGAGGGGGCAATAATGAATGAAAAATAGGCTGAGAAATACTGATTGAAAGAAAATGTTTTCATAACTCTGAGATTTAAAAGTTATATTTTTGAATGGAGAATAATGATACATTCTTACATCCAAACTTCAAAACACTTCATCTCCAAGACTAAGTATTTAATGTAAGTAAAAATTCAGGCAAGTTTTTTTTTAAAAAGACCCCAAAAATGAACATAGAAAGTTACCTGTCATTAAAGCCAGTGTTGACTTCACCAGCAAGCCTCCTAAAGCCCCTGGGAGAAACTTTCATCCAGCAGTGATTCTCACATAGGTATTAGCTCTCAGAAAATGCCATTGTCACCAGGAGCATCCTAGATGGAGGAAGTTGAGGGCGAGATCTGGCTTTGACATGGAAAAGGGCTTAATTCTTTGGAGCTTGACAGCTGATGCGCCAACTTCTTACAAATACACTTTTCAGTTTGAAGTATAACTTACATACAGAGAAGTCTTTAAATCATAAGTGAAAACTGATGCCAAAGTAGGCACGTCTATGAGCCAACAAAGAAATGGAATATCATCATTGTCCCAAAAAGTCCCCCTAGTGTCTGTCCTGACTTTTGTCCCCATAAATCAGTGTAGTTTGCTTTTTAACTTCAGATGTCAGTCGTACAATATCTGGCTTCTTTTGAGAAAACATTGTGAGACGCATCCTTACTGATGCAAGTAACTGGTTTATTTTCATTGCTAGTTAGTATTCCATGTATAACTGTATCCATTATACCCTTCATGGACAGCTGGGTTGTTTTCAGATAGGGCTATTATGAGTAATGCCGTAAATATTCTAATCTGTCTCTGGTATATGTATGTATATTTTCCTGTCATGTTTACCTAGGAATGGAACTGCTAGGTCATAGGATGAATACATTTTTTCTTCAGTGCTGTTAAATAGTCATCTCACGTGACTGTCCCAAATCACATCTCTGCCAGCAGTAATTAGAGTTCTGGTTGTCCCAAGTACTTGGTATTGTCAAAATTAGAACAGTTCTGCTAAATAGCAAGGTTATTTTGTGATGTGCTTTTTCATTTTCCTCATACCTAATGAGGTTAAGCACTTGTTTACATATTTATTGACCATTTGGATATACTCTTTGTTATTCCCCACCCCATTTTTCATTAGTTTTTTCTTTCTTTCTCTTACTGATTAGTGAGACTTCTTTATATCTTCTAGATAGGAGGTTTTTTTTTCAGAATATGTATCACCAATACTTTGCCCTTCGTGACCTGACTTTTCACTGTCTTTAAGACGTTCCTTTTATTTAGTGTTTTTTGTGTCCTGATTAAGAAATTTTTGCCTACCCATGGGCCATGAAGGTGTTATCCTAAGTTTTTTTATAAAAGGTTATTATTTTCATAATTCACATTTTTGAGAATGATGTAAGATAGGGCCATTTTTTTCCTGTATGAATGTCTAGCACCATTGATTGGAAGGACCATTCTTTCTCCACTGTTTGGCAACATCACCTTCTGATAATTCAGCAGCCGTACCTACAGAGGTCTGCTTCAGGATGCACTGTTTTCTTTGTCTGTTGTTCTGTCCTTGATCAGCCCTGCACTGTTGTAATAACTGCATTTGTAACCCACGTTAATACTGGGGTATGGCTCTTCCAGGTTGCTTTCCTTCTTCAAAGATGTCATGGCCATTTTTGGTCCTTTGCATTTCCACATAAAACTTAGAAGCACCTTTTAACTTTCCACCAAACAAGCACACAAAACCCTCAGAGATTTTACTGAGACCTAGCTTACCTGACATCTTTACAATATTGAGTCTTCCAATCTATAATCATGGTCTTCCTCTCTTTATAAGCTAAACCAACTGTTAAGAGAAGCAAGAGCAAACCTAGAAATTATTTTATTATAAACTGATTTTCTTTTTCTTTTGAAGAAATGACAAAAATAGTAACAGTGGAAATTCATCTTTGAACAATACCACGCCCAACACACCAAGACAGAATACATCTGTTCCTGCAAGGAAGCCAGGACCTCTGCCTTCCAGCTTGGATGACTTAAAGGTGATAGTTGCATGTAGAAATACTCATCTATAAGTACCACAAAAATGTAAGCATAGGGCTAGGGTTGTTCAATGCGCATGGTTTTCAGTAGACATTCAACTTTAGCAGCAACATGATAGCCTTTATAGAGGTACTTTCTTTTTACTTCCATACTTTCTTTCAAAATGACCCTCAAGTTATTCTCAGGTACCTTGTGCAGATACATTTGCTAATTTTTATTACAGTATATGATAATTAGTGACTGTTCATTCTCTTACTGTCTTAATTATTAAACTTTGTGGTAGCTATGTACATGTAAGGAAGAAAACAGTATACACAGGGCTCGGTTCTCTCAGCAGTTTCATGCATCTACCAATGGTCCCCTATGGTGGGGGCGGGGACTATTGTGTACTATCAATTTGCCAGAAAGTTATAACCAAGAGATCTGATCTGTCTGTATCTCTAGGTATCAGAATTGAAGACAGAACTGAAGTTGAGGGGTCTGCCAGTGTCAGGCACCAAACCAGACCTCATTGAACGTCTGAAACCTTACCAGGAGGTGAACAGCAGTGGTCTTCCCCCTGGCAGTATTGTGGCAGTGTCATCATCAGCCATCGTCACCAGTAACCCAGAAGTCACCATGGCATTGCCAGTCACAACACTACATAATGCCATGCCTAGCTCAGTTTCCACTTTCAAGGCAGAATTGCCAACTGCTGTGCCTAGCAGTGTAGCCCATGTTGAAAATCTTCATTCCCCTCTACCAATCTCACCATCACCTTCTGAACAGTCTAGTCTCAGTGCTGATGACACAGCCATGACAGACACCTTCACTGAGATCATGACAATGATGTCCCCCTCACAGTTCTTGTGTTCATCTCCCCTAAGAGTGGCAAACCATGAAGATAGCCTGAGCCCCACCAGCAGCACTCTGTCAAGCCTGGAATTAGATTCTGCTGAGAAAGATCGCAAGCTTCAGGAGAAGGAGAAGCAGATTGAAGAGCTAAAACGAAAACTGGAACAAGAGCAGAAGCTCGTGGAGGTTTTGAAGATGCAACTTGAAGTTGAAAAACGAGGGCAGCAGCAGCAGCGGTCACCAGAGCCCCAGCCCAGCACCACTGCTCATTCCACCAGCACTTCAGACCAGAAACATGGTGGCACTGGTTCCTCCATCAAGGACGAGGCCTCACTGACTGACTGCTCCAGCTCCCGGCAGCCCATTCCAGCAGCCAGCCACTCTGCAGGTCAACCCATCTCTGCCAGTGCCCAGACCCTTGTTGCCAAAAAGGCCATAGTCATCAAACAAGAGGTCCCTGTGGCCCAGGCAGAACAGCAGAGTGTAGTCTCACAGTTCTATGTGAGTTCTCAAGGACAGCCACCCACTGTTGTCGCCCAGCCCCAGGCTTTGCTGACCACACAGACTGCTCAGCTGCTGCTCCCAGTGTCTATCCAGGGCTCCAGTGTCACCTCAGTGCAACTCCCAGTAGGCAGCCTCAAGCTCCAGGTGGGAAGTGTTTCTCATAACTTTTTCTTCTAGCTAGTGCTAATTCATCCCCTGCACTCTTCCATAATTGCATCCACTATGGGCATCACAACTGTATGAAGTGTGTGTTCATAAGGAATGGATATCCAAAAATATGAGCTAGGTGCACTAGTACACACTTGTAATCCCAGATACTCCAGAAGAAGCTGAGGCAGGATAATCACCAGCTGAGGCCAGCATGGACAGTTTGGTAAGATCCTGTCTCAAAATTTTTTAAAAGACCTGGAAATACAGCTCAGTGGTAGAGCACCTGCCTAGCATGTGCTAGATTCTGAGTTCAAGCCCCAGGTCCTCTCACTAAAATAGATAGCTAGCACTATTTTTATATTTTTTTTAAAAAAAAAAAGGACAGATGTTTTTGTATTTCTATCCCTCTTTCCCTTGCATGCACAGTTTCATATGTGTAGGCACTTGAGACCAATGCCATTATCATAATGATAATAGGTGCTGCCTCTAAGCACTTTTTATGTGGAAGGCATAGCATCAAGAACTTCTGGCTTGCTTCACATCACCCTGCCTTCCCCAGAAAATCCAAGTGATATAGCCCATTTCTGGAAAGAGAAACATACCTAGAAAGATTTTGTAAGTTCTTCAGGGACAGGGCTGACATTTAAACCCAGATCTTACTCCAGAGAGTTTGCTCTTTAGCCCATTCTTACATTCTGTCTCCTAAATTTAACTTTTGCAAGGCACTATTATTGTGAAAATACCTGACCTAAGGAAATTGTGACCACAGTTTAAGAAGTGAGTAGTATTGAAAGAGATAAAACACAAGAGAGCACGGAGTTCTCCCTTTTGTCTACATAACCTGCTTACTCACCTTAAGTTCTTGTGGAGTGCAGTTTTAACCAGAATGGTAGGTTTTAACCAAATGTGGACCATTAAGCAAGAAATCATTTGGACCAGTGTTTTTCAATATACCTCTGACAGTAATTTTCCAAATACCTCTAACAGCTAAGAGAAATCATCTCACAGTACTGGGATTAGGAGGCTAGGGTCTGGCCCCTTGCCAATTGCAGAAAATCTGTCTCACTTTTATCTGTAAAGCATCTGTGCAGTTGAAAGTGTTCTATATCTTTTAAAAAATATTTTTAGTCCAAATTTTACATGAGTGTTGATGTTGTAGTAATACAAAGTTGCTGTCTCCTGGGCTTGTGTGTACCCAGAATGTTCCCAGCTGTCCCCAGAGAATGTACAGTACACAGTGCAGCTCAAAGGCAGGAATTTGGGCAGTGGGCCTCACAGTTTTCCTAGTTGCTATTAAATGTATTACAGTATCTGACCTATTACAGACAGAGTCACTACACACTCTTATTTTGGTTTTAGGTTTCCCTAGGCTTTTCAGATGAAAATCTTAGCAGTGTAAGTAAATGGTGAGGTTGATTGGTGGGTATTAGGTACTGTTATTTAAATAGCACAAAATTCTGGTGTTCTGTTGCACATGAGGGTGACTATAATAACAGATACTGTATATTTCAAAAAGATAGAAAGGATTTGGAATGTTTTCACTTAAAGTAGTAATAGGGGGCTGGGAGTATAGTTGAGTGGTAAAGTGATTGCCTAGCATTTGTGCAGTCCTGGGGTCTGGCCGCAGCAGCACATCCCCCCACAAAAAAGTTGGAGGCTATAGATATGTTTGACATGATTTAAATATTTTAGATTGTGTACATGTATCAAAACATCACATGGAAACATTAATACTGGGATCCATTAATATTTTTAGTCTGTTTTACATATTAGTTAAAATTTTAAATGTTTGAAAAAAGAATTGCTCAAGTTCAAACTTAAAACAGATGAACTGAAATACGTATCTGTAAGCATGATCTTAATTCATTTTAGATGACTCCCACATGACCAGTTACTCTACACCCAACCTCTTGATTCCATCTCTGTTCTGACAATGACTTTGATTTCTATTTACCTGCTAGACTCCACCGCAAGGAGGAATCCAGACTCAGCCTCAGATTGCAACTGCTACTCCAGTGCCAGCTGCAGCCTTGCCCTCGGGCCTGGCTCCCACTGCACCTCAGAAACAAGATGCTTTCCCCCAGCATGTCCTCGGTCAGCCTCAACAAGTCAGAAAGGTTGGTAGATACTCTTGAGTATAGACTGTGGTTGTCACCTGTCACCCAGTCTTTCTTGGGAAGCCCCTATTGACTCTTCTATGATCCACCTGCCATAGAAAGAACCCCAGGTCAGATGCCATTTATTTGAAATTGAGAAGGAACTCTTTTGTACTAAAGACTGTTGAACTTAATAGTGAATCTCCTTTTCCAAGTACATTGTACAAAAGCATATTTTTAATCCTCATACATTGAATTTACTGAGTTTTAAAATAAATTTTCAGTTAAATGTACTATTCCCTGGGAAGGCAGGGGATATAGCTCAGTAGCACAGCACCTGCCTGGCAGGTGCAAGGTTGTGAGTTCAATTCCCAGTACCAAAAAAAAACCCAGGAAATGATATTTGTTTTTTGTTTTTTGGGTTTTT